AACTTATAGAGTTTCACAGGCAGTGCTTTATTTATGACTGGCTGAAGTACATGAGTCTCAGCTTCATCTCCAAAATCTCCCTTTCTCAGAATATTTAATCAAATGCAAATCACTCACTTGAGAGACAAATCAGCATAGATAGGAGCAAATGACTGACATTCATTCGACCAGTTAGCAAAGAATTCCACAATCCAGGTCACTCGCTTGTCCCTGGCTAGTTCCTCCTGTAAAAGAGGGATCTTGCTGACAGCCTGCTCATCACGCAGAAATGAACACTCCACATGATACATTCTGATAGCTGAAAGAAGTCAGAAATTTACCCAACTCTTCCCAAAACAAGTGGTCTTCCAAAAACCAAAATACTCACATCTATGGTTTTATCACTGAAATATTTGATGTGTTCTGGACCCAAGTACAAAGGGGGCTTGCAAGTCATCAGGAACACTGAAAACGCACAAGAAGCAGATCTGAGCACTAGCTACGATGAGGAAGTCACACATATTGATAGCCCATGCTCCACAAGTGGACACAGTCGTTTTATTTAATTTTTAAAAACATTTTCATTTTTAAAATTTTACACACTGTATCTGCATGCAAGGTTTTTGCTGCATTAAAGAGTGGTATTTTTTCAAACTTATAATATCTTTTATTAATAAAAGTCTTGCATTTGCTGGGAGGGTGGGTTGGAAGCAATAGAAGATGCTAGAGGTAAATGAGTGAAATTGGAAAAGAAATATTAAAAAGGCTGAAAGTGAATGGGCAGGAAGGCAGTTAGGGAACAAAAAAAGCAAAGCATGTGGAATCAACAGGGGAGCAATAGAAAGGGAGGGTTGGTGAAACAAAGTTTGTGTTTCTTTTTATATAATATAGGTTGACAATATCTGGATATTTTAGACAGAGTAATCAGGGAAAGTTTATCCTATTGTCACCAGGAATCATGATAGAAACTCAGAGAGAGAAACAAAGTGAAAAACCAGAATAATGTTTTACAATCAAAATCCCATGCATTAGATCAGGGTGCTAAGAACATTTTTTTAAGCTCAAGCCCAGTTATTTCTGGGATCAATCCCTACCCAAAGAATGTAAGTAGAGCCTCATCCCAGAGACCTCACCTAAGCAGAGTGTGAGATACAGTAGCCCCATCCGGATATCAAGACGAAAGAAAAGGATGACATTGGCTACTTTGCTGAACATAAAGATGTTCCCCACGTGCTGGTCCACAGTGACTTGTGAAACAGAGATAAAAAACAGATGATTAGCAGGATATTATAAAACACTCCTGGGTCAAGTAATGACCTATGGTAAGCTGGAACAACCTGAAAGTCAATTTATCACATCATATTTTTATAATTTTTGACAATTGAGATCCTCAAATTTTGCACTGCTATAACTCTCAATAATGATAAATTAATTTGTACAACCTCCACTGCCAAGAAAAAAATTAAGGACTTCGCTGGGCGGTGAACTAAGTAAAAATTTAGCACATGTCTTTATATTGTTCCTACCTATACATGAAGCAAATTCCTTTTAAAGCCCTTCCTCTAATAGGAATGCACTGAGAAAATTAAGGCACTGTGTTCTGAGAACAGGTGCCTTGCAGCTTTTTGTCTTATTTACTGTACAAAGATAAGACCATGTCATAAAGTTCCCACATGCATTCCATTCTGCAACAGCTGTTTACTCAGCAGTCTGATTATCCATTAGAACAACTTCTAATACAAATAAACCTACCTTTGAAGTTTTTTCTAAATATTTCAAAAATGTCAATTTAAAATTCATCTGCTGTATAATAAAAATATGTTTAGAATTGCAGATTGATATTCTAAGTGCACATCCCCCCCCCCTATTCTAACCAGTTGTACATTCCTCCCCAGTTCATAGAAGAGTCATGAGTAAGGGGACTGAAAAAGTCTTCATCTAATAACCTGGGAGATTAAATTCATTTGAAAGGAAGAAAACAATCCAGCTAAGATTTCTATAACGTCATCTTATTGTCTTTGAATAATTCTTAAAATTCTAGATCTAAAATCCTTGCTTCTGTGGAGATAGAAAGACCAAGAATCTGAGATACAGGTGAATGGTAGATATTCTCCCTATCCACGAATAGCATTACTTACTGGATCGGCGATTCTTCATCATCACAATGGCACTCAGAAACATTAAGATCTCCACTTCTCGCTAAAAAGAAAGCAAAACTGGGTACTCAGGGAATAAATAGGAGTAAAGGGAAGAGTTAAAAAAAACCTACCTAGACACAAAAACAGAATTAAATGCAAACCTTTTTTCAACATCATAGTATAGCCACTGCAAATTGATCTCTGGTATCATTACACAGCTGTCCATTTTTGGGGGGAAAGGCCACAAAGCAAGCAGATGGATGTGTAAATCTTTCAGTGTGTGAATATAGCTGCAATATCATATATTGGAATCTAAATATATTTGGGGTATTTATTAAATTGTTTACATAATCTGGATGCAATTTTGAGACATTTCTGTTTTTACAGTAACTACAAGGTTTATTAAATCATACAATTTATCTCAATAATGTTCCTACACATTACACCACTTATTCAGCAATTGCAGAGTAAAATATTATGTTTACAGAAACATCCAGATCATAAAATGTTTCATGAGAAATCATGTTAGCTTACTTCTGCAGCCTCTTAAGCATGATATGAATTTTAGAATATAAACTGTTGAATTAGATTTCTGTTCCAACTAATTCAGCAATCCGATCTCACATTGCCAACTATCTGCACAAACAAATCTATTACTCTCTCAGCAGATGGTCTTCAGAGACACTCACACTACTATCAAAGTTAAATCATTGATCCCCATGACATCCATGAATTGAGCAAACACTTTTTTTGAAATCAGCCAAGCTAATAGTAGCAGCCACTTTTGATGATAATGAAATCCAAAGTTTAATTGCCCATTGAATAAACAAAATATTGTTGGTCCCGATTCTTCCAAGATTATTTCATTGGGTGACTGCTAGTTCTAGTATTTTGAGAGAGAAAGTAGCTTGTCCTCCACTTTATCCCTAAATGTTTTAATGTTTTAAATATGTTGACTAAACCAAAAAGTCCCATATGTTGTAACTTTTCCTCATAGAGATGCTCCCGCTCTTTAATAGATAGTCCCTTGATAACTGCCCAGTGACCTTATAGGGAGATGAGTGGCATAAAAATTTAACAAATAAAAGTCCTCTGTACCTTCTCCACCTCCATTATTCCAGATGTGGCCTTATCATTAATCTATATAAGGGTATTATGATATTGGTATTGTTTTCAAGACTTTATTGTTCATAATAGGCTGATTTTTTTAGCAGATGCATGCCTTGTGTATATCGAACCTTTCACTATGAACTTTCAAAATGTTCTTAACATGACAAAGGTTAGACTTCAATTAATTTTTGAAGATACTGAAAAGATATGGTTTTGCTTTTACAAACAGAAACCATTAGCTGGTTCCTGTACAAGTCAGAGCTTCTTCACAATATATTGATCACATTGATTTATGTGTCAAAGTAACTCATGTATGGCTCTTCACATGGACATGTATATACAGAATTATAGAGATGATCTGTCTACTCCAAACCTGAGATTAAACAAACCTTTTAAAGCACTCCCAAAGACATTTTTTTAAACTTTTGTAGACATGCAGCGATAAGCCTCCTCAACCAAATATCTGCAATCTCACTAGGGATGATGGAAACTTATTTTTTCCACACATTTAGACAAAATCCACTTGAAGAAAGCCAATTTGAATGAATTGCACAACAGGTCTCCGTTTACTATGGTGTACAAAGAGGGAAGACCACACTCACATCCCAAAATCTAAACACAGTACTAGAAATTTAAAACAGGTGAAAATCTCCACCACTACATTAGCTTAAGGATCACATCTCTGGAGGTGAGAAGCGAAAACTGTCCGATTCTACAGAGGAACTTCTCAGAGGCAGAGCATTATTTCTGCACTCATGCTTAAAGACTGCATGACCTTTAAAGATGTTGGAAAATTCTTCTCATAAGAAATAAATTTAAAGTGATAGGTTTTTTTGATTAAACATTGCTAACACAGAAAGCATCAGCTGCTTGGATTCTGCTTGTGTCCCTAAGAAGGTTGGTGGGGGGGTGAAGTCCAGGGGTGAAATTCAGCAGGTTCTGGAGAATCAGTAGCGAAAATTTTGAGTAGTTGGGAGAACCGGCAAATACCACCTCTGGCTGGCCCAAGGAGTGGGGCGGGAATGGGGATTTTGCAATATCCTTCCCCTGCCACTCCCACCAAGCCACGCCCACAGAACCGGTAGTAAAAAAATTGAATTTCACCACTGGGGAAGTCCCTCCCGTTTACCCCTCCTGGGTGAAATATTGAGGGAGCCCCGGGAATCCGAAGCATGAAAAAGCCTGCAGGAGGCACATGCCGAAGAAGGGGCACAAGAACCGATGGAACCCACAAGGAGGAACGGCCTTGGGTCTCCGCAGGCCGATCTTACCCAGTCGAAGTCGCAGGAGTTTCCGTCCTCCCGCTGGCTAGGCAGTCCGTGGCATAGCGGCGGCACCTTCCGCACCAACAAGAAGGCTGCCGAAAGGAGGAGGGAGAGAGGGTAATAAGGCTGCGCCAGCCAGCGACAGAGCCCGGGCACCGAATAGAACAGGGCTAACAAAGGGGCCAAAACCGCCATCTTCACCTCACGCCGACTGAGATCCCGTCACAAGACGGCCTCCCGCCCACCCACCGAGTCCCCTTCTTTTGCTTTTGATTGAGCGGTGGGTGACAACGTCAATCAAAGGGAAGGCGGAGCCCCGTGGACAACGCGGCGTCCTTATTGGCTAGGAGAATATCGCACTGAAACTCTTCAGAATGGCAACCAAGGGACTGCTTTCGCTCTCTGACGTGACGCATTGACGTAATTCCGCCATTTAAAAATGTGTCGTTCTGCTAAGCAACCTATCATATCATATAGTCGAATTCCAGGTAAGTTAGCCAATCCTACGCAGAGGATGGGTCTCCGCCTTCCAATGACGCCAGAGCAAACGTAGAAAAGCGTCGGATGCGAAGCCAATAGGAGGAGACTGCGCAAAGCACGCCGGGATGATGGAGAATTTTTCTGCTCTCTTCGGAGGGACAGAACCTCCTCCGTCGACAACAGCTGCCGCGCTAGGCTTTGGCCCTGGAAAACCAGGAGGACCCGGTACTGGACAGCCTCCTGTACCAACTGTGACTCCGGTTGGAGAAGAGACAGCACGCAAAGCGGCGGCAGCCAGCGGTCCTTTCTACCTAATGCGCGAGTTACCAGGTAGTGGCTTGTAGGGGCGGGGCTTCAGGAGCTCTGTAACCAACCGCCGCCTAGAGGCGGGCATTGCTTTTTTTGGTCAGTGCTGCTTGACGGATTTTAAACGTCACGACGGAATGTGCCAATGGAATGGCTCGCTGCGACTGATGGGCAGTTGCCCCGCCTTTGCGGGAACTCGGGCCGAGCCCCTGTAGAGGCTTGACGGCTGGGCTGAAGTGCCAAGTGGGTGGTAACTCGCGCGACTGGCAGTTGCTCGGGCCACTGAACGAGCCGGGATGGCCTCGTTTGCATATCTTCGGCGTCCTCGAGTTAAAAGCCATCGAAGTTTCTTGCGGGAACCGTGGCGGGAGAGTTTTGTGTCATTTGAGGGAGGGTAAAAGCAGAGTGTGGCCGTTTGGTTCCTCCTACAACTGTTGCTTCTTTGTGACTCATTAGGCTACAAGACTGCGTGGCCCATCAAGAATCTGCCCTCCTAAATTGTACAATCCACCTTAAGTGCTATGCCTGGTAGGCAGGTGTGACACCATGAAATTTTCTAGCACTGAAAGTAAATGTCCATTGGGTTGCCGAGTTAGTCATTTTCTCGGGATGCATCCACTTATGTAAGCAGGACTACAGGTAGCCCTCAATTTACAACAGTTCACTTAGTGACCGTTACAAAGTTACAACGGCATTGAAAAAAGTGACTTAGGACTGTTTTCCACACTTAGGACCGTTGCAGCATCCCCATGGTCACATAATCAAAACTTGACTTGGCCACTGGCTCATATTTATGACGGTTGCAGTGTCTTGGGGTCCTGTGATCCCCTTTTGCAACCTTTCTGACAAGCAAAGTCAACAGGGAAGCCGGATTGACAATTCTATGACTAACTTAGCAACTGCAGTCATTCACTTGACAACTGTGGCAAGAAAAGTCGTAAAATGGGGTAAAATTCACTTAACAAATGTCTCAGCAACATAGATATTGGGGTCAATTATGGGTTGTGCAGTGGGAAGCAGGTTCATTGTCCCAGGGCTGTGGGGGAGACTTCTTTATAATGGATTTGGCTTTAGAAGTTCCCCAGACATAATCCACCCATTTTTAACTCTGGGATTTGGGTCGTAATTGCTAACTGGACTAGACCATTTATTTCTAGAGTGCTTTTCTGTCATTGCCACTTTTTTATGCAGCCACTTATTTAAGTGACTACCTCAGCGACCTTTTGCAAATATGATGGCAATTAAAAAAAAAAATCCAACCAAATTTTGTGTGCCTGACAACAATGCATTCCAGAGTGAGATTACCATTGGCATTGCTTCACAGGAGAGCTTTATCTAAACGATATGGTAGCCACTGGAGATCTTCACAGCATCTCTCTTTAAGTCACATTCTCACTTAGTAAGCATTTTGCTTCCAATTTGAGAAACAGGTTAGCCTCACTAAATGAGGAAGGTAGTGTATGTTTTACTTGGTTTTTTTTAGCTTTAATTTTTTATTTTTATTGATTATAATGCATCAAACGATCTTATGGATAAGGCCAGACTGTAAATATTTTAAATAATTCCATTCTCACTGCTAATATTTCAGGCATATAAAATATGATTTGTATCATTATCGTTGTTGTTAGAAAGGATCTGGTTTCAAAATCAGCTTCTATCGAACTTTAGGAGTTTCTTAAAAGAAATATCTGTGCTGTTAATTTAAGCAAAATAATCAGTAACATTGTTATTTTATAATGTTCATTTCTTGCCAGGTACCACAGAACTAACGGGAAGCACAAATTTGATCACCCACTACAACTTAGAGCATGCCTACAATAAATTCTGTGGCAAAAAGGTGAAAGAGAAACTCAGCAACTTTCTGCCTGACCTGCCAGGAATGATTGATTTGCCAGGCTCACATGATAACAGCAGTTTGCGTTCTTTAATTGAAAAACCTCCCATCTGTGGTAGCTCATTCAACCCCATCACTGGTACCATGCTAACAGGGTTTCGTCTCCATGCTGGCCCGGTGAGTTATGCTTTGGATGAAAGACATGTTGTACTAAAGAAGATTTTTAATTATTATAAACAAAATACACAGTGATGCCTCGAATGAAAAAGAAACTTGCCAAACTAGTAACTAAGAATATTACAGGTTTATAGGTTAAGGTCTGACAATTATCAAGTTTAGAACCTGAATATAAATTCACCAAGCATATTGATTATCAACCATATGGTAGTGGACATCTTTGTGGAATTACATTACAACCTAGATGCAAATAAGTAATTTAAATGACAGAAAGAGACTACAGTGCAGAAATCTTGAATACGTCGTCTACTTTATGAGATATTGACTATGTTGTACATTTTTAAAAAAGGAATTCAGCATGGATATGTTGCCAGCCTCCAAAAACAAGTGAACTGGAATCTTTTAGAATATGGCATACAGCCATGATGGCGAACCTATGGCACACGTGCCAGAGGTGGCATACACAGCCTTCTCTGTGTGGGCATACATGATGTCACCAGCTGGTCTTCCGGGTTCCATTGGGTGCATGCGCACCAGCCAGCTGCTCTTTTCCGGATACCGGCACTCCTGCACGCATGTGCACTCCACTTTTGGCACTTGGTGCCAAAAAGGTTACCCATCACTGGCTTATAGCATGTGACTATTGATTATGGTACTGACTAGGAACGAGGAAGCCTGAGTTCTCCTTCTACCCTAGTTGTGGAAGCAAGTTGGGACCACTCAATCCTAGGAAAAAGGCAACAATAATCAACTTCTGAAAATGTTGCCAGAAAATATTTATAGAATATCTATATATTTACCAGGAATAAAGACTGACTTAAAGGTAACCACTGTCCACCCTCCCAAAAAATAACGGGTTATAACTTCTCTATCAGAATAGACTTTTAAGTAAGGTTGGAGATAGGAAGAAGTTTCAGGCAAAGGATAAAACAGATTATCCTTAAAAAGGAATTCTTGAATCTTTCTTTCACCTGTTGCAAAGTTGGTATCAAGTAAAAATTTCTAGCTAAACTCCAAGGTAAATTTATATTTATAGAATCTACATATTTATATTTCTTATTTCTAAACCCTATTTCCCTCAAAGAGGGTCTCAGCATATGATATACTGAGCCATCAAGTTTGTACAGTACAGTGAAACAGTAACCACAGTGGCTATATTAGCACAACATGTCTAGTTGTGGTTCACAATAGAAGCAATAGAAAATGATAAATCCTTGTTAAAATTGTCATCTCAAACAACCAGCAAATCTTTCTTTGTTGATATATTTGTCATAGCAATTGGATTGGTCAAAAATGGTAATTCTCTGTGGTAAGTATTCCTAAGAGTTTATGAGAGATCTGATCATAAGAGGATTCGTGTCTGCATTTCATGTATTTATTCATTAGATTTATATCCTGATTTTCTCTATTCTCAGAACAATCTGAAAAGTTTGGGTCGAGGAAAAGCGATTAGTCTAAGGTCACCCAAGTAAATTTATCTAGCTGAGGGGGTAGGTTCTCATCAGAGTCTTCCTCGCTCTATTTCAATATTGGACTGCTATACTGTGCTGGTTCTCATTTTGAAGCCAGAAGGCTTTGCAGTGCTGCATTTGTATTTTTGGAAGCAACAAAAATCTAGATTAGGGATAATTTTGCTTTAGCACAGAAGTCCTTAATTTGCAATAGACACAAACACTAAACAAAGTGAACATCCAGGTGGTCCTTGCTTAATGACCATTCCTTCAATACCAGTTCAAATTTATGATGATGCTGAATGAGTGCTACTTACAACTGGTCCTCATACTTATATTTATAGTGTCCGACACGTCATGGCCCCCAGCTCACAATTATGACATCAGAATGTCCCACAGTACGTGATTGCCATTTGCAACCTTCACTGCCATCTTCTAACAAGCGAAGTCAATGGAGAAGCTGGCAGAAAGTTGCAAATGGCGACCCAGTGATAACAGCAATCAGAAGTGCCAGAATTGCTGTCATGTTTTACAAACACGTCACTTAGCAATGGAAATTCTGGTCCCAATTACCATTGTGAAGGGAGGACTGTTGTGTATTATCTGTAGTAGAAATTATTCTAATGGAAATTTTGATGGGGATATTATTTGATTGTCTTGCAAAAAAATATACACCTGTAAGTCTATTATATATGTTTTCTTCATAAGTTCATGTATTGACGTGCCTTTCTGTTTCTGTTACACCAGTTGCCAGAACAATGTCGCTTAATGCACATCCAGCCACCTAAGAAAAAAAATAAGCATAAACATAAGCAAAGCCGAACCCAAGACCCTGTTCCTCCAGGTGAGAAGTCTATTTCTTAGGACATATAATAATAATGTCCCCACAAACATCTTGCCGATATAGAATTTTTCAGTCTGATAGCTTAAATTAAGTCACTCCTTGCTTCTAGAGCAGGAGTGTCAAACTCACGTCGTCATGGCGGCGTCAGATGGCGTATCAGGACATTTCCCGTCTTTGCTAAACTGGGCATGTGCGTGGCCAGCACATGACACATCCAGCCTGTGGGGCCGGAGTTTGAAAGCCCTGTTCTAGAGCAAATATATTTTTTAATTGTTCTCTTATTTTACTAGAAACACCCTCAGATTCTGATCATAAGAAAAAGAAGAAAAAGAAAGAGGATGATCCTGAACGGAAAAGAAAGAAAAAAGAGAAAAAGAAAAAGAAGGTAATTGGGAAATAGTTTTCAGCTGTTGATCTTGATATTTATAAGTTCATTGTAAAACAACAAATTTAAGTACTTTGCTTAGAGTTTGGTGTCAGATCTAAGATAGCTTTTTGGGCCAAGAAAATCTACATGGCTATTTTTATTGCCTCGGGAATTTCTTATTTGTGTCTTGGTGTTTTTTTTTAATAGAACCGCCATAGCCCTGAACATCCAGGTGTGGGCAGCTCACAAGCCAGTAGCAGTAGCAGCCTCCGGTAGGATCCTACCCAAGATTATATTAAAGAGAGTTCTCCATGAAATGCTACAGACATGTTGAGAAAAGGAGGAGAAACAAGGATGGGAAAACCACAGCTTCCTTGTATATCTCCTTTTCACCTTTTGGAGCAGTATATAAAAGATTATATTGGATGGAGCTTCAGGACTTCATAGCTTCCTCTACAAAGAACACAGACTTTGCTTGGGACATGGAGGCTGATGCCTTTATATGGAAATTATGTTTATTGTTTTGTGTTTTGTAAAAAAATATGATCCTGACTAAGTTGGGATATGTTTGTCTCATTTGAATTAAATCTCTGTTGGAGGAGATGCTAATGATTTGAAGGAATCTTGACTACTGGACTTTTCCTGTGTTGTATTGCAAACAGTTCTGAATTATTTTGCAGTTAATAAATTGGGGGTAGAAATTCCAGAATTTTCTTGCGATGTAGGATGGGTAAGTAGTCTGATAAAAAAAATACCTTATGTGATTTAAGCTATTTTGGCTAGATGAAAAGGCAACATTTTAAATTGGCAGGAGAGACAATATAAGGTTGGATTTCACTTCCATGTTATTAGTTTTGTGAGGAGTAGATCTGAGCAGCTAACACAAAGTATTGACCAAAATATATGATACAGTAAAAGATGTCAATAGGAAATGATCATCTATGAATTAGAGGACAAGATTGTTGCAAAACTCTTTTCTTCAAGAATCACTTACTAGGTAGAGATTTTTCCTTCACATCCCCTTGTTTAATTAAAGAACTAGATTTAATTTTTGCTAGGAGGAAGGAGAAATATGTTGGGAGATTTAAATTGAATATATAAAGCCATTTCTAGGAATCTCATTTTTCTTTCCTTCTGTTAACATCCTTTGCTCTCTTTGACCTCACTACCTCATTACAAATATGCTGGCAAAATTTGTGATTTAAAACCATCTAATTTTCTTCTTTGTTGGTTCTAAACATCATAGAAAATTATAATCTGGCTTTTTTTGGAAACAATGGGGGAAAATAAGCAAAAGGATCATGGTTGGGAAAGATTTGCTCTTTGTTGCCTCGTCTTGCTTGCAAAAGAATAGTAAGGCTTTCAGCAATGTCTCTTGATCAATTTAGTGTAATATGGGAGAACCCTACTAAAATGACCCTGTAATTTCCTTCAAATAAAATTTGTGAGTGGGCATTTAAAAGGGACAGAACGGTGTATGGGCAACTAGGCAGCAGCTTTTCATAGGATTCTGTTTTGAGCAAAAAGACAGGTGGGCATTTTCATCTCTTTCCACATCTATAGCTGATTTTGTTTTAGAGAAATCACAAAACTATCATAAAAATAGCTGGGATGAACTTTCCCCCAATATTGTGGCCTTGATTTAAAAAAAAAACTATTTTTAACCAAAGAAAAGGGTTAGAAAATACTTTCAGGGACCTTCCCTATCATATTTGGTTATTGAAAAATTGGTCGTTGGAAAAGTTTCTTTTATAGCACTTGAAAAAGCAGATGGAGATGCTTGGGTTTACAATATTTAAAAGTTTTCTAATGGTTGATTCTATATTCTAAGAGACTTTTATGCTCCTAGCTTGTACAGAGCAGCTTGCTTCATCCCAAAATAAATATGTTCCATGAAGTAGAGAAATTCTTACACCAATTCCACATGCAAACTGTTCTTCCTTGACTAATTGACTTAAAGGGTCAAAGAAGGTAGATTTAGCAACTGATGTATCTTATGCAACAGCCTTAAACATGGTTATTTATGCTCATTCTTGTATCCTTCATTAATTCAGATAGGAAGGGAGGAAGTAAAATAATAGAAATATAGTTTATTGCTGGATATAAGAGGAGAAAGAAGGAGTTGAGTTCCTTCCTGTTCCCTCTTGAGTAAGCTATTTAAGCAACTAGAAGGTTAATTTAAATTTATAATGACAAAACCAGTGATAGCCAATTGTGAACAGCAGTTGCTATACTTTTTGTAACAACTGTTGTAAATTGTTGAGAGTCTGCTTGGGCAGGGAGGGGTTTGTGCTAGGTGAACTATAAAAGCTGAATGAAAAGTAGTGCCTTCAGTGTTATAAAGCACTTATGGATGACAGTATCACTATGCTAAAAACTCTGGCATTTTCTTTAGCATCTGTTATTTCACTTGCTGTGAAGTTGCTGTGAGAAAAAATGAGTGAGCATTGTTTATGAAATGAAAACTCGAAGTGGGTAAACATAAGTGAATTTAAGCAACACACCATGGTTAAATTTTCACTAGTTGAAAGAGTCCTTCCAGTTAAAATTCACCACCGAATTAGGTTGTTTATGGCAATCAGCATGTTGATGTGAATACTGTGCATTGCTGACACCTCACCTCCCCCAAATGTAAAGATAATGCTGGGAATAGCTGATTTGTGTGATCCAGAATGAAGCAGATGACCTGTCAGCAACCTAAGAATTTCAGGTGCAAAACATTGATAAACTTATTGGGTCAAAGGAAATTGCTATTAAGCTTGGCATTTCTCACAAGAATGTATGGGACACATTGCTGTATTGGTGTTTCCAGTATCAAAAGGTGTGTGCATGACAGTTTCCTTGCAAGTTGAGGGAGAGATGAAAGCTTTGAGTTGTAATTTACTGGCAATTATCACATGAGAATAAAACTAAATTTCTTTACAGTTGATGAAACATGGGTCATCTTTAGGACCAGGATTTGCCGGGTCAATCCATGTAATATCATACCGGAGGTTCAAAATTTTAAATCCAGGCTTCAATAGGAAAGTTTACAGTACTGTGAACCACCCAGATCTGCTTAAGATGGGTGGCCATATAAATCTTTTTAAGAATTATCTTCTTACCCCTATGGATATGTCTTCCTCAATCTCAGGTTCTCTACCAGAGAGCTCTGATGTTGTTCATGGGGTCTGTTTGAGCCATTCTTTGGCCTTAGGAGTCACAATCTTGAGTGCTCTTACCATCCCTGGGGCCACTTTTGGCCCTTATTTTCCACATTATCTCTAGTTTCTTCTAAAGGCCTGGTACTTTTTCAGCTTCTCATACTCCTTCTGATGTTGCTGTCACTTAGCATTGCTACATCTATCACAGTGGTGGGATTCAGCCAGTTTGCACCACTTCGAGAGAACCATTTGTTAAGTTTCTGAGCAGTTTGGTGAACTGGTTGTTGGTAGAAATCATTACTCAGTTGCCTCTTAGAACAAAAGCCATGCCAGTCAGAAGAAGGATATAAGAAAATTTCCAAAGCATTGGATAAACATGGAACACAGTGAAGACATTCAACAACAAGTAGAGAGAAAATGGCACTGACTGCCCCTCCAAAATTGATGAAAAAAACAGAAAGAAAAATGGTCAGAGAGGCTGCCAAGAGACCAATAGCTATATTAAAGGAGACGCAGGAATTTCTGGAACATACTGGCTGTGTACTACATGCATCATACTCTTCACGTCTGGTCTGTGAGGTAGAATGGGAAGATGAAAGCCATTTCTTATAAATATAAATATCTGAACCTAGTTACATTTTGCAAAACATCAAGCCTGATAAAAGCATGTGGGAAAATGTGTTATGGTCTGGTGAGTCCAAATTTTTGACTAAATTCCAAAACTATGGCGCAAAAACTTGCATCACCAAATGTACAATATACCCACAGTGAAGAATTGTGGTGGCAGCATTATATTTTAGGACAGCTTTTCTTCAACTAGAAATGGAAGTGCAGGAATTATGAACAGTTCCAAATAGTCCATTTAAGCACAAAATCTTCAGGCCTCTGCTAAAATGCTGAAGATGACAAATTTCACCTTTCAACAAGACAATGACCCAAAGCACACCTCCAAATCAACACAAGAATGGCTTCAATAAAAGATCAAAGTTTTGGAATGGCCCAGCCAGAGCCTGGACCTGAACAATTGAAAATATATGGGGTCACCTTAAGAGGGTTGTACATAGGAGATGTCTTTGTAACCTGAGAGATTTGGGGTGCTTTTGCAAGGAATACTGCACAAAGATTCCCAAGGCAAGATGCACCATGCTAAGAGACTCCTACTGCCAAAGAATGAATGCTGTCATAAACCAAAAGGTGCTTCAACAAAGTTTAAGAGTGGTGCATCTTTATGCAGCCATCTTATTCTAGTTTCTTACTATTTTTCTCCCTAAAAAAATCTGTTTGTCTTTCAATTTAATTGTTTATATTAAAGATGGAAAAAAATTTCTGATTTAACTTGGTCTGTTTTTTTTAACATCTCAAAAACCTAGCATTTTAACAAGGGTGTGTAGACTTTCTATATCCAATGTTTGTGTACGGTATATACAGTATATGTATGTAATATTGATTGATAAAGAGATAAAGATACAGATACCAATGTCCTTCAATATGGCACATATTGGATTACTACATTTTTTAATTATTCAAAACATTACACCAGAGCTATTGTTGAGAAACTTACAAAAATGTGCTCACTCTCCTGTTAATTCACCTAGTTGGGAAAGCTATAATTGAAGTATGCACTAGGAAGTTATGCATAGTAATAGACTGGTAATAGAAAAAACAATTCTGAAGGTTATTATAAAAGCATGACAGTTACCGAAGTGTAATGTACTAGAACTATGTACCTAAATATTAGCAATGCTATAATTATTTTTAATAATGAGATCCTCTGCCAAATTTGTTAAGCCTAATAGCAGGTTACAGTAGTGCAAACTATGTAAATGATTTCCAACTCAGCAATATACCAGAACTGCCCTTTGAAATGGTTTCGCTAAAGTAATGGCGATTTCAATGTCTCTTGCAAAATAGCCTGACTTATTCACCAGGTATACTTTGATAGTCATGAAAGTTGCTGTGCTACTTACTGTACTTCATCAGCAAGCAGAACTTGGTTACACCTAGTGCAATCAAACCATTTTTCTCACTGGCTGGATTTCATTTTTTGTGATGTGATATACAGGTAGTCCTCGACCTACGACCACAATTGAGCCCAACATTTATGTTATTGAGGGAGACATTTGTTAAGTGAGTTTTGTCCCATTTTACGACTTTTCTTGCCTCAGTTGTTAAGTGAATCACTGCAGTTGATACATTAGTAACCCAGTTGTTAAGTGAATCTGGCTTCCCCATTGACTTTGCTGGTCAGAAGGTCACAAAAGGTGATCACAAGCTCATGGGACACAGCAAGTTATAAATATGAACCAGTTGCTAAGCATCTGAATTTTGATCAATGATGATGGGGATGCCACAAAGGTTGTAACTGTGAAAAAATGGCAATAAGTAGCTTTTTTCAGTGCCATTGCAACTTTGAACGGTCACTAAATGAACTATTGTAAGTCAAGGACTACCTGTACTTTTCACTCCCAT